TGGTCCTTTCTCTGGCTCTGGTCCCTGCTCGGGGCCTCGGGGAGCCCTGGCTGCTGGTCGGGTTAGGATTAGGGTTCGGGTTAGGGTTAGGGGGAGCCCCCCTACTCTCCGGGTTTTTGTAACACTCTCAGATATCCAACACGAACACGTCTCAGCTCCTCGGGCCACGGCCGCCGCCCCCCCCCGAAATAAAAAAAAGATACAACCTTAATCCAGTTAAATGAGATGACTGACTTTGACGTGGAGCCTTTTAAGAGGCGTTTCCCAGCAAAGGAAACGGGCAGATTGCAGAAGCACTTTAAAGAGGAAGAAGCCTCTGTCGGAAACAGGGCCGGCCTCATTTGCCTGAGCCTCTCTGAGCGGTAAAACCCCGTAAAAACTCTGATTACAGCCTCTTAAAAGCTTCTTTTGAAAGCTCCTGAATTTGCGTTTTGCTGATCCGCTCTGTGCTTCCTGTTACTTCAAACGCCTCCGGCCACAAAACGCAGAAGAGTCTGTGGGAGACTGGTTCTGGACCTGGGTCTGGTTCTGGTTCTGGACCTGGGTCTAGTTCTGGTCCTTTCTCTGGCTCTGGCTCTGGCTCTGGTCCAGGTCATCAACAAGACCAGCGACCCCCACCTATTCTTCTCCCCCCCCCCTCTACCTCACTAATTTTACCCAATGCTCCAGCATTTTCTGGTCTGTCGTTGCAGATCAACATTGCACATTTCAATTGTTAATTTGCACATTCAAATCTATATTTTTAAAGATTGTTAATTTGTACATTCAGATTTATACTTTTAAAGATTGTATTTTTCAGTTTTATCATTCTGCCCTATATCTTTATTTTTACTTTTTATTCTTGCTTCTCATAGAAGTGTTGTGTTGTGCACTAAACACAAAGGCAAATTCCTTGTAAGTCTGAAAACCTACTTGGCAATAAACCTGATTCTGATTCTGATTCTGATTCTGAGGAGGCAAAAAACCTCCTCAGCTAAGGGGGCCAGAACGGAGTGTCCCTCACCTCCTCTGCCTCGGGCCAGCTGCTGATCTCCAGCCCCTGGCTTTTGCTGATGGACATCTTGAGAGTGAGAGGGATCCAGACGTGTCGTAGATCCTCCGCCCGCGTGTCAAAGGTGATGCCCTCCATGCTGCATATGTCCTCTCCGCTGCAGCAGGAGAGGACATTATCAAACGACATTATCAAACCTTTTTTTCCTGAAATATTCTGAGATTTATAAAAAAAATTCTAAAAAAGAAAAAACAAAAGCCATTGTTTTTACGATCGGAATGACTTTTGATCATGAATGGAGGTGCCCTGTTTGGTCTAGACTTACTCTAAACACCACTCGTTTGGCACGGGGGGGGGGGGCGCTGGGTTTGGCTGGTTCCGTGGCCTCTTTCTGCATGGCCTTGTTGAAAGCGTACTGTGGAGGCGACCAAAAACACTGCGTTCATGTCAGGAGCCGACGGGGAAGTGGCGGGTGGAGCTTTGGAACGCGCCCTCGGTGGGGTTACCTCCGCCTGAACCTTCCAGAACTCAGCCTCCTTAGCGCTGTTCACCTCGCAGTTTATAACCAGAACATCTGGCAGACACCGGATATTGCGTGTCTGCACCTGGATTGAGGGATCAGAACGATTACACCCGTGTGTGTGTGTGTGTGTGTGTGTGTGTGTGTGTGTGTGTG